CCCTTGATTTAAACCTAAATGTCATGACCTGTATTATGAAACCTGCCCATGTAAGTCACTAGACCCCCTTATCTGTTTGTCTTCCCATTGTGGCTACACTCAAGTCTCTTCTATACTTTTCACACAATTACTTGTTCCTTTGACATACTGAGGATGGGTGACTGAACCTAGCTTATTGTGGCTAAAAGTGTCCAGACTAATACCCTAAAACTTTGGGAATAGTCTGAGAAACAACTGGCCTAGTATAATTAATATTTATAACACTAAACAGAGCCTGGACACAGCTATTTCACTATATAGAAAGAAAAGTTTAGTTTCCTATTAAAATCCTAAGAAATAAGCATTTTCAGGAAAATTTAGGTTAGAGAACATTTTTTTATAGGCAGGTAGCCCACAGAACTGTAAGGTAGGAAAGCAAACTTCCCTTAGATTTTGTGTAAGATAGGGAGCCAAGATGTTGGATGGTGCCAACTCCCAAGGTAGCATGGCATCACTACAGTATCTTCAGGAGAGAAGCTAGTAGCTAGGTGAATGTGATGAATGAACCATTCATGGTAACTCCTACTGGCACAACCAGGCATGCTCTATCTTTCCACAGTATACTCTGTAGGAAGACACACATGAGGGCTCTAAGTGCTTGCATGTCAACTCTACCACCACCGGCCCCACCATGTCTGGCACACCGCCCTTTCTCATGCACAATGTTCTGCCACTCATTAGTTCACCTAGGCCAAATAAAACTGCAGCCAGTCACAATTTTTTGTGCTTTATATATTTTAATAGCCATTAAACACATACCACAGCTGGGTGGTGGTAGCACATGCATTTAATCCCAGCACTCTGAGTTTGAAGCCAGCCTGGTCTACAGAGTGAGTTCCAGGACAGCCAGGGCTACAGAGAAACCCATTTCAAAAAAAAAAAAAAAAAAAAAACAAGCAAACAAAAAATAACCCACATACTCCAATACATGAATTTAACTATGAGAGTGGCTTTACTGTCTCTCTCTGATTATTTTAATCATGACACTTAGTCTGTTGTTTATTTAATCCAGGTGATGGTATTTCCATCTCCCTCCTTTAAAATAGCAGATTAGCAAATTACACTTCAGTTAAAGGAGTATGCATTCTCCTTGAACTCAAGACTTTTTCATCTTCTTACAAAGATGAGCAAGGGATTTATTATTTTGCTTTTCCCCAAATACTTTCATTGGGTGGCAACTACCAGGTACCGTCCTTACTGAAGTAGCAGCCATCCAAATGCTGCTCTGCCATTTCCATGTCAGTGTCACTCTCAGGAGGTGGTGGGTGTTACTGTACAACCTGAGCAGAGTTTCAGAGCCAGTTTGTCTCAACAGTGCTTGCAGCTGCTATCTTTGCCTAACTTGCTTACTATGTCAGTCATCCTTCTAAACACCTAAAGCAACTTAGCCGGGGAAAGTGCCACAAATCCGACAAAATCTGCCTCTAACTAGTGGCACTGTATTTTTAGTACTTGATTATTTGCATGCGGATGCCATTTCATGAGATCAGTTTGACTTCTTAATGTTCAATGATGTTTAAAAAAAAGATGCCTTTGAAATACATCCTTTCTGCCAATTAATTCTAATGTGGAAATGCAATAAAATACAGCAACTACTTTGGGTTGTTGTTTCAATCAAGGCATATTTAGGTCATTCCCAACTCCTATCAATAAAACTACCCTGTCTTAAGGAAGAGGATTTTTGTTCAGTTCTGTTCACCAGAGAAAACAATGAAGAATATTACAAGGATAATAAAGTAAAATTAGACATCAGTCTGGCATATATTTCACACACTGCTGAAAACAAAAACATATATATAAAGGCCCAGTTTATACTGGGTATTAAGTTCCCCCTTTTTTTTCAATGCAGACTGAAAATGATCGACTTACCAAGGAGCCTACACCAAGTATACTAAAGTGTCCACACACACCTACCTTCTCTGCTTTTGGCATCTTAGGGGCAGATTAGAACAATTCAATTCTCTTTGGGTGTGTTTCCAACCTGATAGGTAACATGGAGCTACTTCACCAACTCTTTCTCCTGAACTCTCTTCTAGTCTAGCAAGGCAGGTGATCTATAAATATATGTTCGCAGGTATACCACAGTGAAAGATGAGATGAGCCTTCCTTTTAAACCAAGAAATAGAGACTTGCTACCAAGAACCATTTAACTGATTGTAAAAGCAGATGCAAATTAACATTAATGAAACATTAAAAAAATTTTTTTACATATCAACCAGTTTTCTCTTCCTGTTCCCTCCCTCCAACTCCTTTCTACCCCTCCACCCATCCACTCCTCAGAAAGGGCAAGGCCTCTCATGGGAGTCAACAAAACATGGCATATCAAGTGAGGCAGGACCAAGCTCCTTCCCTTTGCTGAGCAAGGCATCCCTTCATTTCCAATTTACTCATGTTCTAAAATTCTGATACTTGACAAAAACTGTAAATTATTTCCCCACTAAATAAAAGGAGATATAGGAAATTAAACAATTCACTGAAAGTAACCAACCCTGTCCTTAAGGGGCCATGAATTTAATGGACTTATTTAAGTCCAAAAGGAAGACTCTCATGTGTTATGAATAAATTCTCAGAATACCAGTGTGGTGACTATAGAAAACACACTGAAAAGGACAGGAGCAAACAAGATGTGTATCTCACATCCAGATTTACTCCATTCTCAGCATTGGGGGTGGGGGTGAATAGGGAGTCTGTCTGGGAGTCAAGCCCAAAGTTTTGTACATTCTACAAATGTTCTACCACTAAGCTGTATTTCTGGCTTTTGGTTTTATAGGACAGGATCTTACTATATATAGCTCAGACTATCCTTGAACTCACAATATTCCTGCTCCTACCTCCCATATGGTGGGATTATATGTATATGCCATTAAATTCGATCTCCTCTCAATTCTTCTATCCTAAAATAACAATGCTGATGAGTGAGGGAACTCACTTTTTTAATTTCTAACTTGAATGCCACAGAACAAGTCTTATAATTTCACTGTATATATTAATAATTTTAGTGTTATATTTAAACCAGTATATAATTTTTATGTCCTACAAGATTACTGTCTAAGAGCAATCATGGCATGTCTGTATTTATCTTTAATCATCACCTAATTTACTCATCTACTCAACAAACATTTAATTGTAATCATAATCATGTTAGGTAGTATACACGGCAATGAGATTCAGATTTTAAAATCATCACAACTGAAGGGGGCTTTGAAGCAAACCAAACAGCATTACGAATTTTGTTGAGAGGAGTCAGGAAACATTCCTAAAAGTAATCCCAGGGACAACACTCATCTTAAAAATAAGTGTAGACGGACTAAGAAGGAGCAAGCAAATAAGGTATTTTATATATGAAGCAACTTTTAGAGAGTTCACCACTCCTATAGCTTAAAACATGAAAGGTCAGAGAAATTAGAAAACTAAAGTTCACTGCAATTGCAATTTCAGACTGCATGGGTAACAGAAATACTAAAGTGAATGTGATGGGCTCGTCCTAATGAGCTTAGAATGCAGAGGAAGAAAAAGAGACTGAATTGTAATTGAGTGCAATAAAGTTGGCATTATAGTTAAAAGAAAAAATGCAGAGCCAAACATGGTTGGAGAGCCAGAAAGGAAGGCTTTTCATTAGACAAGTATGCTAAAAATTCTATCCTATAGGCCACAGAGATTCTGAAATGGGTAGCCACAATTATAGGTGCATGAGTTCTATCACAAGAAGACCTTACCTTTCCTCCAGTCAAGCAAACCCACAGTCTCAGAAGGAAATGTTAGCCAATGCTAACCAATGTGATTTTTTTCACCTGGTTAGGTAAATGAGATACTTACAAATCTTTTAGTAAGAATGAAAGTAAAAATTTAGTGACATTTTCTAAAATTCTTTGTATTCCTTGGGTTTGCAAGAAGTTATATTTAAATTTTAAGGCTTTCTTTCAAAAATCTAATAAAAAAAAAACCTAATCATGAAGTTGAAATCTAGTATACTTAACCCACCGTGTCTCAGAAGTACACGAGGGTTCTCTTTCGAAGGGCAAACGTCAGTCAGGGGCACTGGCAATTGAAGACGAAAACTCATTTTAAAGATGAAAAACCACAGATGGACATCTTAGGGTCAATGAAAAAAATAATCTTAAGTATGGTGGCATTTCATGATTATCCAGGGGACTTTATTAAAATGTGCATCACTGGGAGGATGTGTGTGGCAAGGGTTCAGTACCTGCCGGGCATCAACAGAACCTCATATCTAAATCCTGGGGCTATCAAAATATATATCTCTAGTCCACATACCCAAGAATAGTCAGAGAGGTAAGTCCACATGTAAAACATGTTAACAATTCTGACAAGATGTGAAAGCAATGACGTATGTGCATAATATTCACAATAAGGAACAACAGGATTTTAATCAAGAACGTGACTAGATCATACTGAAATGTTTGAAGATCACTCTGGCCCAAGGCAGACTTTATAGAGCAGACAGAATAGCGTAAGGATGGTAGTAAATGCTACAATTAGGAGATCATCAAAATAACATTAAGGTTAAAGATGATGACCACTTATGTACTAACAGTGGAAGAAAACAAGAATAGTTTAAAAATTAGAATTAAGAGTTTATAAAATTTAAATGAATGATGTTATTTTGAACTTTTCTAAAGATACAGCCCTACTAGTGAGACACTGGCTTTTTAACAATAAATCTTATTGAATATTGTAGCCCACCATGTTTTTAGCTGTATAATAAACTGTGTTCTATAAAATCCTATAGTGTGTATAAACATTACAGGGTTCAAATATTACTAAAATTCAAAGTGTCCTTCAAGCTCAAATGAAAATATAACAGATTTAAACCTCTAATATTTAGCATTCTACTAATTAGAGTATAGAATTGAAAGCTTAAAACCTTAGACAGTATAAACGATTTTCAGAGGCTGATAATTTAAAACTACAAACAGAAAACAATCAATTAGCAAACTTACGCTGAATGTGAATGAACTGTTTGGGCTGTTTAAACTCCCCTTTGTACAAGCGATTGTAATAGTTGACGTTGCTCTCTGCCTCAGGAACTGGAATGACCATGCTCTCTTTTTTTTCTCTAAATACTTGCTGCGCTGAAATAGCTCGTTGTAAGTGATGTTCCTGGAAAATGTAAAGTAGGCAACGTAAGTTGTGTTGGTAATATTAACTCAATGCATAATTCTATTTAAAAGCTAATTGGTTAATTAACAACTGCAAAAAAATCAATTATTAATGTTCCCCTTTGATAAATCATTGCAGCTTTTTTCTACATACCCAAGAAAGCATTACCATCATTCTCTCTTAACAACTGTGACTTAGTATCACAACTTCATAACAATAGTTTTAAAAAGACAAACCCATATACATGTTTATAACCTAGAATTTTAATATTCCCATTATAAGTCTATATCTTGTTTGCAAAATAAATTTAGGTATTTGTCACCATTACCAGATCAAGAAAAAAATATTTAAGCCATAGGAAGTAAATTTGTATTAAAATTTAAGTATCTTCTACACTTGAAACGCAATCAGTACAACATTCTGAATAGTTAAAATATGTAGATGAAATTACGTCCAACAAAATAAGCATGGGAGGAAATATTTACTAAACATTAAAAAGTTCCTATAAAGTATACACAGGTTCTAATTCTAATCACTTCTCATCAATAGCCTCTGAAATGTCCTACTATGCTTATTCCCCTTATAGCAATAGGAATATCTTGCCTATTCCCCTCAACAGGCAAGATACTATGAATGTGACCCAACACAAAATCATAAGTTTACTTAAAACATCATGAGATTTTGATAATTTTTAATAATTCAATTGAGTGGTTCTCAACCATGAACGTTGTAGATTAAACACCATCATAGTTTTATGGAAAATAAATGTTATAGTCTCATTTGTTGAAACAATAGTCTCTATTTGTTGAAAATATACACGGCTTCAGTTTGAAGGTGGTGTGTACCTTTTTAGTGTCACATTCTAAGCATAATCCAATTTACATCATCAGACATTACATGTGCTTGTGGCAGATTGGTAAGTGAAATGTAGCAAGTATCAATAATACTTTAGCCTACCATTACAAATGATAGGTGTTTAATGTTATTCAAAAGGCAGGTAAGTGCTTATATTTGATTATAAGGTACCTCCACACCTTGGTCATGCTTCAAATATCACTTGCTGCACTTTGTGAGCTGGCAACCCATGTGAGCTACATTGGCAGCTGACATGTGGAAGGGTTCAAATCTTGTTTTTTGCTTTTCTGTCAATCTTCATAATAAAAACATACGCTCCCTTAGATATTATTTACCTTTTAAGTTCTAGCATGGCTTCTACAATAGCTGAAAAGAGAAGGAAAGTGTCCAAAAGGAAGCATACAGATGAAAAAGAATATTCAGTGTCCGATGAGTAATATGTCAGAGCACATAGGAAGGCCCTGTACTTTAGGGAATCTATAAAAGTTTTTGAAAAATATGATTTGAAGAGACATTACATGCAAAAGAAAGTTGCCAAATTTAGTGAGTATCAAAGACTGTAACATAAGGACAAAATGTTAGAACTAAAAATAAATAACTCAGATGCACTACAAAAGAAAGCTATGTGGTAACCTACTAAAAGAAAAAAAATCAAAGCCATTTACACTGATAGTAGAGTTATTAAACAGTGCTTTCAAAAGTGTAGTAGACATAATACACCCTGAAGAAATAGGAAGGCATTTCTAACGTCAGTCTGTCTCACTAGCCTAAAACCAAGGGGAACAGGAACACAGAGCTGCTTACACTGACTATTTTGGTGATGATGGTAGCACTGATGGTACAAATACGGTTTGGGCTACTACCACTTTTATGCGAGGTACTGATGATGAACAGGACACAACTAAATCAAGAGATTACTACAAAGCAGTAAAGTAGGCTAAAGCAATTTTCTTTGTTCATTCTCAAAATTATGGTACAGTTAGTTAATGATGGTGCCCTGGTGATAGGAGGCAAACAGAGGGACCTGTAAAATTAATAGACCATAATGCAACTGCCATCCAAAAACTCATGCTTAATGAAATATCACTGTATAGCAAGAAAATCAAGAAAATTTATGTGGGGCTGGAGAAATGGCTCAGCAGTTAAGAGCACTGCTATTACAGAACACCATTGTTCAGTTCCCAGCACCCACAATGTGGCTCACTGATGTCTGTAACCTCTGGAAGTGGAATTACAAGTGACCATGAGCCACCATGTGGGTGTTGGGCATGGAATCCAGGTCCTCCGCAAGAGTAACAAGTGTTCCTAACCACTTAGCCATTTCTCCAGCCCCTACTGAGTGAGTCATGTTTCCTTCGAGTTTTTTTATTTTCCAGACAGGGTTTCTCTGTGTAGCCCTGACTGTCCTGGAACTCACTTTGTACACCAGGCTAGCCTCAAACACAGAGATCCACCTGTCTCTGCTTCCCAAGTACTGGGATTTAAGGCGTGTGGCACCACTACCCAGTGTCATTTGTTTCTTAATACAATGCCAGATAGCCCAATAGCTTTGTTGCTTTAAAGAAAAAAAAACTTTCATGACTAAAAAGTATACATTTAAAAAATTACACTTTAAAAAAATTAAATATCAGAAAATAATGGAGAAAGACTGTTATCCTATAATATTTCAGTAACATATATGTATATCTTTGTCAATCACAGCATTAAGCTCCCACTCCTACCATTTTGAAGGCTTAGGCTTTCTCTCCTGACACCAGCTGAGACGGGAGGTCAATGCAATATGGAATATACTATATTTATTTACATACAACCTGGGGGGGGGGCAGAAAGTGTGGCAGGCTTCCAGAGGAAAAGACAGCTTCCTTTTTTCTTTCACTTCCTTTTATCTTCACCTGTGCTAAATTTCCCCATCTCCGCCCTTGTGGGCGTGAAGAGTTTTGTGGACTCACCCCTACACAATACCATAAATGTTCTGATAAGGTCTTACTGCTTATAATGAGCTACCATGCTCACAGAGCTTCTACATCATACTGGAATAAAGGAAGGCAGATTAACTACCACCTACTACTGTCTCATTTTCTGAGCCTCATAAATACGTGTCTTCTCAACTAGTCCAACCTCTCATTCCATCAGCATGTCTGTCCCTAAGCATCCTTCCCCCAAATCACACAACTCCTACCATTGTCTCTGCATCCTTCTACCCACCTTTGCCTCTTACAATCCTGGCCCTCTCCTGAAGACAAACAACTTCCACTTTCAAATCTTGATTACACACATACCTCCATCTGTTATCAACAGTTTGTTCCTCACTTGTAAGAAAAGCTTCAGCTTCTCAACCTCTCCACTTTCCTATCAGACTCACTCATCACTCTCGTTCTTTATCCAGGTCTGGAATATACAGTTGAGACTACTCATCTTCTCTCCACTACCCTCCATTCTTCTGCTGTTCCATTCTATGTGAAAGCATTGATCAATTTAACGTAAATATTGTATGACCTTAAGTTCTAGTTAAGCTTCTCACACATGTTCAAATATCCACACACGGAATACACACATACATACACATGCAAAAAAATGAGCTTCAAAGATCAGCAGATGATAAAATAAATTTAAAAGTATTTATCATAAGTCATCCTTTTCAACAAGTTTAAGTGTACCTGTTAGACACTGATAATATCTTGTCATTCAAAATTCTGAGTGTGAAGGAGTACAACCTCTGCTATTAAGAAGCTTATTTGGTAGAGGTGAAACACTCAGGTATACAAGTTTGAACCTCACAAGTATGTCTCCTTTAAATAATCAAAGCACTGTTTCCAGATAACAGGAAAAGATGCCCAAAGATATAAAATCTAATTTGAGACCCTTAGGAAGACTGATGATTTGACAAAGCAAAAGAAGAAATAACCTACCTAGCAAAAACAACATGAACAAAATGGATGAAGACCCAACCTAGTAACAAAAGATAGGTAGCTGAGGACAGGATTAGTTTCTTCTACACTTTCAATGTGCTTTGCTAAAGAATAGGATCCCAAGTTCACCAATTACATTTTTTCATATATTAATAACTAATACTATACTATAAATTTAAAACATATTAGTGGTAGAAATTTGAGTCAACTAAACAATTATGAGGATCATATAAAAAAACACAAATAGCATTCTGGAACTAAGAAGCAAATCTTTGGATAAATAATTTCTAATACCTAAGGCTATATTTTGCCATAACCTTGCTGAATAACTCACCTCGCTGCTCACAGAAAGTCAGACCTACAGGCAACGTCTCCCTTATAGCTACACAGTGTTTTCTAGCTCTTAAGACCATCCACAATCACAAAATCACAATAATCTTGAGATTCAAGAAACAAGTGGTTTGCTTATAGATAAATTACATGCATATGAAAGAAACAGGACTCTAATTAAAGTGTTGTTTGACTATTTCATCCTCACAAGATGAGGGCATTTGTTATAGCAGAAATGAGATACACTAACAGTTTACAGACATGGGTAGTAATAAAAGGAATCTAGGTTAAATGGTAATATGCTTTAAAATCTGGATTCTTCTATTATAAAAGTCACTTTCCTCCAAGTATAAAACATTTTAAAGTGTTAATATTATCAAATTTTAAAGTATTAAAATTATCAAAACATGCCAGGCGGTGGTGGCGCACGCCTTTAATCCCAGCACTTGGGAGGCAGAGGCAGGCAGATCTCTGTGAGTTCGAGGCCAGGCTGGACCGACAGCCTCCAAAACAATACAGAGAAACCCTGTCTCGTAAAAAAACCAAAAAAAAAAAAATCAAAACATTTTAAGAGATAAGGGTTTCATGTTAATTCATAAAAATTAAGACATTTATTTAATTTGGCGAACAAAGAACCTCCTGCTTGAAATCACTTGTTTACTAATCTATTTACAGTTCTAAATGAAAACTATTAAAGTTGACCAGAAGTTATTTTATTAGCAGATTAGCAGATGACAGAGCTGTAGCCAAAAATTGAAAAACAAGAAAACGACACTCTCCTATTTTAACTTGGAGACCAAATTTGTCTCTAAAAATAAATGGTCAGATATCATTTCCTTCATCAGATTGTAAGGCAGAGCAGCTGGAGAGATGGCTCAATGGTTATTGGCACTTGAGTTCTTGGAG